GTTTAGTTTTCATTTCATTTTAGTACCCCATCATTAAAAACTTAACGCGTTCAGTACCAAAACTATCCGTTTTAATACCTAATTTCTTAATTTATTCAAAACATAAAGTAAGTTTTGAACGGGGTATTAGAATGAAACGAAAACTAAAATTTTTAACAAGTACTAAAATAAAACGAAAAACTAAACTTTAGGTATGCTTTACCCCGATAATTAATACCGAAAACAACATCTCCAAGGATAAGTTAAAAGGCAAATGCAAACACTTATCAACAAAACTGGGTCAAAACTCAAGTCCTTGACGAACTCTTCCACCAATAATTTTATGATATGTGACACCAGAACAAACCTTGGGGCAATTTGGGGTATCAAGGAACAACTGAAAGTGAATGGTCGATGTGTACTTTATTTGACAAATTAAGTAAATTTCCCAATACGTTCGTTTTTAACATTCATGGCTCATCTTCCAAGTTTGACCCTAAGTTGTTCTAGTTTTGTTTCTTCATTACGTTGTACTTTACGTTTGGACAACATTCACCTGATAGAATAGTAAGTAATTTGACATTTTGAAGTGATGTTTTAAGTTTGAATCTTGTACATGAAAAAAAAATGTTGTTAAAAGAGGTTTTTTTTTTATAAATAAGAATGCTCATAGATTTAGTCGTATTGAATTTTTGGTCCATTCAAACTCGATTTGAGTATAATATCTTTTTCGTCTGCTATTTGATTTGAGTCTAAAAAAGTTTCGCTTGATCTAAAATTTTGTCTAATTTTAAGATAACGTCTTACACCGGTCCTGTTGATTGTGCACGAAGGATTAACGACACTTATCCCACATTGGGAAGGAAAATTCTTTTAGAAAGGTATTTAAAGGGAAACTATAACATTCCCTTGGTGAATTTAGTGAAGCAACTCTCTCACATGTGTGTGCCACAATCATTGTATGATTGGACTTGTGGTTGTATACTTTGCTTTTATTCTTTGGTGTTACGAGAAGAGCAATATCACCGTAAGTTCATTCTAATTTTTGGGTGTACAATTGTTCAGAATAATCGTGTTAATCTTGGGAGACGAAAGCCTAAAGAAGATAATTGTTTCATATCACGATGCGGTTTTTTCTTTACTATTTATTTTATTATTAGATTATCTAGTCAACGCTAACAGTTTCTTTTTACGGTGTATTTTACCAACATACCCAACATATATATTAGTGGGAGAGGCTCGACCATGGACGTAACTAAAGAAGGGTGGGAAAGGCTCATGTCTCCCCTATAAATAGAACATCAATGAAAAAAAAGACTTGATAAACTTTTAAATGCTTAAATTACACTTTAAATTGATTTTTAGTGTCTAAAGAATTTTCGTTAAAAATATGTGTCTAATATTTCTAACGTTATTTTTGGGTACCTGGAGCGTAACTGTCGTTAAATTTGACTGTTATTTGACACGTGTCAACTACATAAAATTTAAAAAATAATTTATTAAAAAAACAACTTAAAGATATTAATTTTATAAAAAATATATATATTTTTAAAAAATTATAAAAAAACCTCAAATCACAAAAACTATAATTTCAATCCATCACCACCACCGATAACCAAAATCATTTGTCAATCGACTGAAATATCAACGATGGCCAATCGTCCGAACACTTAACGATTGAACCCCATAAATCAAATGACGATTATGGTGGAAAAAAAACAAGTGATTGCAGCGGTCGGGAGCCCAAAACGACACTATAATCGATTCCTTATTATTCTATTAAATTTTAATGTAACCGAAACCTAATATAAAACTGTCGACACTTGTGTCCAAAAACGGCAAGGGGAAGAAGAGCAAAACGAGCGTTGTCAAAGGATTTTCATTGGTGGAAGGAACAAGATGACAACTAGGAAGACAGGCGTTCAAAGCGACAAAAGATTGGGCAATGCATGAGACGTGTCGGGTGCCCATGGTGGTCACTTAATTACAAAGCAAATGCAAGTAAGTGTTGATGCCTAATTGTTTATTGGTGACCAAAAAAAAAACCAATATTCTTTTGTATCGTTGTGAAAATTTGTCAACTAATCATGGTTTTCAGAACTGGATCGGTTAACGAACCGGTCATGCTACCGGTTCACTGATTCAACCGGTCGAATCTGTCCGACCGGTCAGAAGAACCGGACGATGTCATAATTATTTAAAAAATTAAATAAAAATACCAAAAATATTTAATAAAAAATAATTTTTTATATCACAAGTCATATTCAAAGCAAGTCATAACATATATATAAGTTAAAAACCATAAAATCAAATGAAACAAAATGATTCAAATTAACTACAACATAATATTTAAGGTAAAACATATTAAATAATAAATATAATTATATAACTATAATTAAAAAATAAATTTGGGGTTAAAAATCATAACAAAATTATATAACTATAATTATATAACTATTCTTTCACTTCAATCAAGCTCGAATTTTAGGCTTCAATCGAGCTTCTAATTTTTTTTTGAGTTCAAGCCTTTTTTTAGTTCAAGTTTCAATATTATATTTCGAGTTTGAGTTGAACTTGATAATTTTTTGCTTGTGCGTTTGAGTTGAATTGAGCTTACTTTTAAATTTTTCAAGTTCGAGTCGAGCTCAGCAATACTCGAGTTCGACTTGGATCGTTTAACAAACGACGTTGTTTGGTTTAATTTTTTTTTAAATAAAAAAATAAAAATTCCGGTTTTTCTCGGTTTTTCCGGTTTTTTTCGATTTTCAGCCGGTCTGATTCGAACGGTTCAGCAATTTTGGCCGGTTCACTAATAGCGGTTCAACCGGTTTAGATTGAATCGGACTAAACAACAGTTTCCGGTTGAACCGGTCGATCTGGTCCGATTTTCAAAACAGAGCAACTAATCCACCAATCAAATTAGGCAAAGTTTCTCTAAGTGTTATCGTGTCAAAAAATTAGGATGTGACTTATTATTGGACCGGCACACTTCCTACCGTGACCTATCCACAACTTATAAATAGTTTATTTTAATAAAAAAATATTATTATTATTTGACTAAGTGTAGAATTTTATCTATACAAGTAAGCAAAACGTTGATACAATGAAAAATCATGTGGCCATCTCCCCAACGACATAAAAAATTAGGCTAATGAGGATGACAAGCCTGCGAAATACAAGACCTAAACTTAAATGGTCATATATCTTATTCAGAGATTTTTTTTATTTAAAACATCTTATAATACATTAGATATAATACATAACAAAATATTAATAATACAGATATATCCAAAACGATAGCAAATAATGTCACCAAACATAACTGAAAAACATATAGAGATATAAGTTCGTACAAAATAAGTAGTTGATCTCCCCTGATGCCAAATCTGATAGTTTACAGTCTGCTGTTATCTGAAAATGGGTAAAAACTACAGAATGAGCTAAAAAGCCCAGTGTGCTCCATACAGTGTATATAAAAACATACTGATAAAAATATTCTAGTAAAATCAGTTTATGCAATTATGTCGTTAAAAATATGAACACTACCCCCAGCCCATCACTAGGTTCCCCAGAACCATACACCCAGCCCACACAACAAATAAGACCCTAAGCACAAAGCCGAGGAACCTGCATATATACTTCCTTCAACAATTTATACAATTAAAACCTCAAATTCCAATTAAATATATATATATTTTTTAAATTTTCGGGTTATTACAACACTTGCCTAGCAAAAATACACTCAACAAAGAGATAGTCTCCATCCTCAATACCGTGACCACAAAGCATACAAGTAGCAGGGTCGGTTTTGGGCCTGTGCGGGCTGCCCAACCGTATAGGGCCTAATTTTTGAAAGGACCTCCAAATTTTTTTAAGTCTTTTGTATATATGTATATTTAGGATGTTTGGTCCAAGATTTTTTAAGTCCAAGGCCTATTTTACTGTTATGGTATAGGGCCACCAAATTTTAAAATATTAGTGAACTTCTTTATATATTTAATATTTTTGTTTTAAAATGTCTATTTTACTGTTATGGCATAGGGTCACCAAAATTTACAAGACGGTCATGACAAGTAGTATCAATATGATCCCCCAATAGGGCATACGGACCTTCGTTGATAGGTTATCAGGAAGAGCCAGCCACGTAATGAATGAGACGGGGAATAGACAAGTCGTCATAATGAGTTAAAAAAATACTTTAGACACATATTCATAAAAAATAGTATAGTTTGAACACTTGTTTTATATTTAAGCCTTATATTAACTATCTTTTACTGTTTCTTTAAGGATGGTGGATCCTCTAATTCTGTACTATGGTAAAGGGAAGCCAACTGGTTTTCCTCTAAACCCCAATTGTTGTTGTATTGACATTGTAAGTGAATTCTTTCTTTTTCCTTTCTTCTTCTTCCTCCTCCTCCTCCTCCTCCTTGTTGTCGTCTTAATGAAAGAGTTTATTGAAGTGGATTCCAGCAGACATAGTTGTGAACACCATGTTGGGAATCATGGCAAAGCATGCTTCAATGTCCAAGACAGCAGACCTGAATTTCTACCGCATCTGTTCTTGTTCTTCAAACCTTCTAGTTACTTTGTTTAACTTAATCTACCAACACTTCGTGACCGGTCCCTTTATCGATTCTATTGGTCGACCAATCCGAATCTCAGAAATGAAAATCTTTAACTCACTGCAAGATTTCTCAAATCATCTATGGAGATCAGCAGGAGCTACTGCAGCTGCTATTTTGCCAAGATTTTGAACAATAATACTAAAATGAAACAAAAACTAAACTTTAAATATGAGTTTTGAAAAAATTAAAAATTTAGATGCTAAAACAGATCAAAACTAATAGTTTAAGTACTAAACACAATTTACCCTTTCTCTTTTGGTAAAAGTTGCATCAAATTTTGAACATACGTACACATATTATATAGAATTTGGATATGATGTGTTAAAAAAGTGTTCAAATATGGTTTTGGAACAACACCTTAGCAACAAAGAACGAGAGCCTTTGGATCATCACCGATATAAAAATGCAGCACTGATATATAACAGTCTTCTCTTTGACAAAATGAGGGGGAAGCAAAAAGGACTAAAAACAATAAATTCAAAGGATCAAAACAAAAGCTTCGACGTTACCGTTATTAGGGCTACAATTGCCGATAACTGGTGTGCCTGCTGGCATCGCGCAGCATTAACTATGCCAAGGAAGACCAATACAGGATCTGTCCAGTCTTGTCGGGAAATAATAGCCGGAACACATGTTATCTGTACCAAACCCTGTACATGCTAACCAACTAACATCTCCATACCAGAAATTTCACAACAGAGCATCAAAATAAGCTCCAATTATATGGTGAGAACCCAAAGGAAAGGGAAAACGTCCTAGCAAGTTTTTCTACCATAATACACATGAGCCCCGCTTCAATGTTTTGCAAAACGAAGGGATGAAAGTGAAAACCCAGGTAATAAAACTAAATTCTCAAAGAAATTTGACTTTTACTTGAAAAGTATCTTTGGTGTTTCACCTGAACCACAGTCGATGCTCCATCACGGCCACATTTGTGTGGAACGGTATAGCTAATTGAATTCCTTTCAGCCCTTGGAATCACTTGCTCCATATTGTGTACTTCAATTGTTTCCGTCTCGAACACATTTGAATTTGAACTTCTAGGTAGTGTTCATGTATCATGACTGTTCTACAAGCATAGGCCGTTGAGTGAGATCCCAAAGCTGCTTTTTCTGCTGGTCACTAAGGTGGGGTAAACATGCGTGTAAGAGATCAACTGGCATTTCTCTTTTAATAGCTTTGGCAGCACCTGATCCATCGATTGCCATACTTGGTTTGGTCTGCATTCGCAAGGACTGCATCACGGTATCGTATTTGTATATGCAATACTTGGTAAGGAGGTTAAAGAATTCATCAAATGAAGCTTTCCAAAGGGGTAGATTAGTCATATTATAATTGCCAGCAGCTCTAGAATCATTCATGATTTTTGTTGCCCTATCAAGAACAGATTTCAGAATAATTGAAGCCTCATCTCCAGCAGGACTTCCAATGGGACGAAGAGGGGGCTTCTCTGAAGAACAAACAACAGATGCAAGACAGACACTGAGGGCACGGAGATCCATTTCATGGACACAAGAGGAAACAACCCTTGCAAGGTTAATAGTAGTTTCAGCGGGTCCTGGATCAGAGGGAAGGACTCCGAACAAGAGCCTTAAATGACGGAAAATGGACATGCAGACAACTAGCATGAGCTCACCACCTGGAGGAAGAAGCTTAAGGAACCTTGCAAGTAGCTTCCGACCTTTGGGGAGGGAAACTATCCGTAAAAACACAAGATCATCCTTCTGAGCAAGATCATCTGTATGACCATTCTTGCTAAGTGTGTCAACCAACTGAAGTGATGTAGCCAGCTCCTCCAAGAAAGCCTGTCGTCTCTGTCTCAGTTGGGATCCACCATCCTGCAACTGATTAAACTGTAAAAACCTATCAATATCATCTACATCAAGAAGAAGGCATATACCATCCTCTATTGTAACTCTAGCAGCAAGCATCGGTTCCTGTTCCAGGGGCATATCAGAAGCTTTTTTATCATTGTTGGTGACAGCAGATGAATTAGGAGGGTCAACTTCAAGAAGAGGGCGAGGCCTGCGAACCGAAGAGAAATGAATCCTCCCAAGAGCATCAGCCTGGAGAAAAGCATGAGGCTCAGAATTCGAACGTGCTAGGGGAGGAAGGTCCCTAATCTGAGTCGGGCAGAAATGATGTCTCAACTTTGCCCCAGCCGATTTTCTTGCAAGACAAGCCTGGTGGTAATAATCATCCGTGTAGGGGTCATTACTGTGGGTTGCAACAAGCTGCATTCTGACAATGCCCTCAATCTCATCAGTTGACATGTATTTGGATCTAAACTTAGGCCACCCAAAACCGCTCTTCAGTCTACCACTGTCAAAGCCCTGCTGTGAAAACCGTAGATTCTGCCTACCCTTCTGAGCTGATTTGACTCTTTGATCTCTCAGATCACCAATACCAAGTATAGCATCAACCATGTTCATTTGAGATGGGGAAGGAGAAAGATGAGGATTAAATAGTTGTGACTGAATCCCTGAAAAATGGCCAACTGAAGGCTGATCAGGATGCTGCAATCTCTGCTGGTGCGACTGCAGCTGTGGCATTAATTGTGAAGGAACCAAACCATTTTGATGGGATAACTGTTTTTGCAACATATTGTTCAAAATACTGGAATCATCTCCATACAATTTTGCCTGGCTCCCCCATTGATTTGACGGCAGATTACTGACAGACAGGCCAGGAGCAAATTGAGGAATATTCCCACGAAAAGGTGGCCCACGGTATAAACCTGGCGGTTGAAGCTGAGAATTTGAGAAGGAAGAGAGGTTTGGCAAAGATGTCATCCGCGGCCCACCAACCATATAAGGAATATTTAGGTGTCCAGCATGTTGGTTCGGTGAAGCCTGAGGAGATCTGCCCTCATGGGGAGAGTATGAAGTATAAGAAGGTTTTGGAACTAAAATCGGTTCACTAGAGAAATTTTGACAGTATTGATGTTGCTGCTGTGGCGGCAGCTGCTGCTGCTCGGGGTATGAGGATGTCCTGTAGATATGCTTTGGGTCCAAATTGGCCAAGGGTTGTGCTGACCGGCGTTTCCCTTCGGGAATACTTTCAGTTCCAAGTGGCTGCTGACCAAGCCAGCAAGGAAATTCCTCCCCATGTGTCCATTCGGCTGCAGATGAACCTTCAACAACATAATGAAAAATGTCAATATTGGTACGGTATTATCTTGCATGTATGTCTGTTGGTCTGTGTAGTTGGTCGTCCCTTCACTATGATGCAGGGTCTTACTGCCTAACTATTCATTTACAACAGCAAAAATAGTTAGTACAATTTACACACAATCATCTGTTAAAAATGATAGCAAAGAAAACCTTCAGCTAGTGTACTATTAATTAATTATAGCTATGATAATATTAAAGCACCATCAACACATTAGGAAAGGGAATAAATTTCCTGAGCATTCACCTTTAAAAGAGGAACTCAACTTTGTAATGACTAATGAGGGTTATGTACAGATCATATTTTTAACATTATGTTTATTAGATTTAAAAAAAAGAAGCATTATCATATTCGTGAGAGCGTGCTTGAGTGGACTCGGTGCCTTTCACTCTGAATCTCTGATAATGCAAGAGGCCCCAAAAGTGCACCTTGCACATGTCACAACTCATTGCCTCAACCCAATCACAATAATGAAAATAAAACTGAACTAGTGATATAGATCCCAATAATAATTGAATCCAAAAACATTTTAACTGATTAAAAATATGAAATTATGAATATCATGAAATAAAAAGGTCATAGATGTTATATTCACAACAAATTATTTTGTCTACAGGATGATCTGATTCCTACTTAAGTCTTTGCTTACATCAGCATAAAATAAATTCTGAAACAATGGCAAAAGGAATTTCAACTAGCTTGGGTGAGCATTGTCAGAATGGATTTCAACTGAGGTGAGCATCACAAGAATGAATTTCTTCAATTCACGTAACAGGAATATGCTAGTATCAAAAATTTTCAATTCAATCAGCAAGCTATTATTCTATCCCATAAATTCATGTCATCTACAAAGGTTCAGTTTGAAGATGAGAGGTTCATTGTTCAGACTCAGATGCTTAAGATATATGCAAATACAAAATTTCCAGATCTAGTTAACACAACTGATACAAACACGCATACTAGACAAAATTAAGGCAACCCTTAACCAGGGTTTCAAGTCCGCAACCGCGATAGCACTCGCGATTTCGCGGTAGCGCTGCCTTCCGATATACCCGCAACAGCGCCCAATAGCGCCCGCTATGGCCGTAATCTCGGTAAACCCGAAATGACCGAAAAACGACCACGATTTGAAACTCTGCCCTTAGCCACCAACTCCCTATTAAAAAGGGAACTACATTCAAGACTTTTAGTAAAACTATTAGCTGCCTTCATGGTCTTCAATGGGAAACTATACCATTCAATCATTCAAAAGGAAAGCATGTCCACTGCACCTAAGTATATAGATGAACACCCTTATAGGAGTCTAATCAAATGTAACAACAAATGGGCTCCTACCAAATAACTCAATCATAATCTTGATAAACCTAACCAACGTTTTATCGTTTCTTTTTATTCTAGCTATGGAATAACCACCACCAAAAACACTCTAAAAACAGTTAAAATAATTTCCAATTCCAGATATATCTTCCACTTGATACCGAGATATCTTATTTTCCTATCGACATATGATAGTTTTCCCAAACTTGAACATAACTGTCCATTAAAAATTTGGAAACATACAGCTAGTTGATACTTTAAACAGGTAAAAGATGCTTTTATCAAAGTTCAACAATCAGCATTGATGCTAAAACATATCAAAGACTTCTGCAAGAAACAAATCCAGAAAATATAGGACCTCAACAACATCAATCATCAACCACTGACTAACAGAAGAAAGTGATGAGATTAATAAACTCACTTTGTCTGGATCCCCCATCACCAATTATCCCCGAGCCTCTTGGTCCACTAAAAGCTGGGTCCAACTGCAACAACATAATAAGCTAGCATCAGCAATTGCTAAAGAAAAGGCTAGTACTAACCACTAAATTACATGCATGCATCTAGTGATTTATAATTTAAGAAATATTTTTGAAAAACGCTAGTAACTCGTCCTTTATGACTTATTTACAGTACAAAGATTTGATCTTGAACTTGGAGAAACAAGGAGATAAAATTTAATAAGTTAACTTTTCTGATTATAAAAAATAACCCAATATCAAGCAAAGATTTTGAGAGCTGCTACTGCCCTTATTTAGAGTTACAATAAAAGTTTGGAGGATCAATATTCTTAGCAAGCTAGCAGATGATTATGAAAAGAAGTTGGTAAAATATTTCTTGTGTATTGTAAGAAACCAGACAAATACAAGCTCAAAAGTCAAAAGTATGGGTGCACTTCAATAAATGCCGAGGTTTTATCCCATTAAATCACTCAGAATGGGATAAGATCTAAAGCTAACAGTAAATGTGGAATTAGGGGTAATTCCTCAGGAGAGAAAAGAAATTTGATTATCTAACTAGTTGCAAAATACAATAATTATGCAGTGGATTAACCTTTGAAAATGTATTAGCAAGATCATCAATGTCTGATAAGGATCTCAAAACTTCACCCTGCAAATATAAAAAAGAAATTAGTTAAAGCAGCTAGCACATGGATATTATGCTAAAATCAAATATGGAAAACGATATGCTTTAAGATAGTTAGATGTGCCAAATGAAACACTTCACTCGGAAGGGAGCAGTTTTCTTTTCAAACAAGTAACCACTGATTTTATCCTGCTAGGCATAAATTCGCAAGAATAACTAAAACACAAAAGAAAAATGAAAAGAAACAAGAACATTAATGATTAACCTCATCTCGATCAAACAAAAACTCCTCATCATCAAGTCCGACTGCAGGTAATTCCTCCTCCTCCTCATCTAATCCCCCCAATTCAACTTCCTCGAGAACATCTTTCCCGAAAAATGTATACTGCGAAGCATCAAATACTGTATCTCCTGCATCATAGAAAAAATAAATAAAGCAAAGGAAACACAAAAAATAATTCACCCTTTTCACCACAGACAATCATAGGAACCACAGAAATGGGTATTATTTTTCCTTTGTCTCAAAATCAAATAGCAATCAAACAACAGCCGCCAAAAAAGCCACTTGTACTGTATGCCTAAAGGGATATCGCAATACCAATTTACCACTCTTTATGTAGCCAAAGGCCCAGTAGTTCTCCATATGTACCAAAAACCTTCTTGACTTCAAAATTTAAATCTAAAACAACCAGAAACTCTAGCTTAAACCAAACTAACTAACAAAACCCATAGCTGATTCTATCCCATTAAAGGCATAAATTGAGTAAATTAAAGGAAAAAGAGTCGGATATCAAACCTGTTGAAGTATCGCCAAATCGCCCAGGATTCTCAGAAGCATCCATTGTATTTATATAAACAATTTAAAATCGCCACTCAATAGATAAACCCCAGAAACAAAACTTGAAAATTTTAACTGAATCTTCGCTCTAGCGGTTTTAAAAAAAATGAAATCTGAAATTTAAAATATAAAAGAAATGGAATTCAACGATAAAGTGCATAAAAAAGAGATCTATGCAGCATTAATTCATTGTTAAGGAAATAGGGTTTTTTTCCAGTCCAAATTATTGAGACAAATTGATGAAAGAAAGGAACCCTTAAGAAGAGACAGCGAAGGGTTGGTTAATTATTTATTTATTTATTTATTATTAGGATTTAGATCCTTATTTTTAATTTTGTCAGTTTTTTCTGGCTTTAAATTTTCTAATTTTTTAGATTAAATTATTTGGTAGGTTGTTATAATATAAGATAGTAAATTTGAATTATATATAATATAAAAATAATAATTTGTTTTCTTTTTATGAAAATAAAAATTTGATTTTTTTATATATTTAATTTTAAATTAATTAATTAAATTTAGGATAAATTACGTATTTAATACCTAAACTATCAGTTTTTGTCTATTTTAGTAATTAAACTTTTATTTTTTTCAAAACCATACTTAATATATAATTTTAATTTTATTTTAGTACCCTACTATTAACAATTATTGTGTTTACTACCTAAACTATAAACTATGATCCATTTTAATACCTAAACTTTAAGTTTTTTTCTTCAAAATTTCACATTAAATTTTGAACAAATATACTAAAATGAAACAAAAACTAAACTTTAGGTATAATTTTAAAAAAAATTAAAAATTTAAGTATTAAAATAGACTAAAACTAATAATTTAGATATTAAACCCGTAATTTATCCTTACATTTATTGGTTGAGTATACGTCAGCTAACATAAGTATTGTGGATTCCTAAAAATTACAAATAAATTTGAAATCAAATAGAATAAGAATTGAATTCAAATAATCATTATATAATCATAAATTCTGGAAAAAAAATCCGCAAATTTTATTTTACATGATTAATGAAGAATTAAACTCTAATTATAATCAAATTATTTTTAAAAATATATATTGTAAGAATACTTAATATAATATTAAAATATGATATATTTTATAAATATTCATATTCATATTAATCTTTATTTTTATTTGTATTTTCTATTGATTATCTAATTTCGCACCACTAAAATTTTATAACTCCGAATAAGAATGGAGCTAGATATTTCATAATATGATGTTATAATTTTAAATTATGATATTTAAATAAAGTCAAATAAATTAATATACATTAAAATTCGATAAATTAATATAAAATATAGTTAAACTAACATAAGACTATTACAAAACTATTAAATGATAATCAAAAGAAAATATGCATACATACTAAGGGTGTTCATTTTCCGGTTATAATCAAATTTATCGACCGAACTGAATTAATTCGGTTAAAACGATCGACCACTAAATTGGTTCGGTTGTGGAACAATTATTTTTTTCAATATTTAACAGTTAATTCGATTCAAATCAGTTAATTAACTTAATTAATCGAATTAGCCAAAAAATATTAAATATATTATATATAATAAATACATATTGTAAGCTCAACTCTATTAAGAATTAATACTCAATCATTTTTTAATCACACTAGATCCATTAAATTATCAAGATCTAATTAAATTTTAAACCAAATAATATATATATATATATATATATATATATATTAAATTATAGTTAATGTAAGACTTAAAAATGAAAATGAGTTTAATATTTAAATTATTTTTATTTTCTTGATTAGGATTTGGATTTTCTAAATAATTTTAATATAATTTATACATTATTATTTAAAAATAATTATAAAAAATTAAATAAAAATATCAAACTCATTTTTATTTTTAAGTCTTACGTTAACTATAATTTAATATGTATATGAAATATAATTTATTTATTTATTAGATTTGTTTTAATAATTATATATATATATATATATATATAAATATATAAGTGTGTGTATTTGATTCCCCATGTGTGTTTGATTCCCCGATGCCCCTTTCTCATCTAATATATTTTCTCTTTACACATGCGGTGACACATGTCTTCACTTGATTGGTGGAAAAATATATTTAATTAAAGTTAATTAAATTCACCTTTCAATCTTATAGTGATATGTGGCACCTCCGGATTAGAGGGTTAAATATATTTAATTGAATTAAAATTGTAACTAAATTAATAGAATGTGTAAATATTAAAGACAAAGTATATAATTATACCAATTTTATTAACTGTCATGTCACCACATCTATTAAAAATTAACGGTCAGTGCCTTGATTGTATCATTTAAACAGTTGGGTAGTCTAATTAATCGAATCGAAATGTCAGTGGTCAAAATGAAAAGGGGTTATAGTTTAGTGTTCACCCATGTAGTTTTTCCAAACATTAATGGGTAAACTATAGCTAAGACCACCCAACTATAACACATTTTCATTTTGACTACTATTTTTCAATATTTTTCAATAGAGTCACTCAACTATTTAAATGTATTCAATCAAGTCACTTGTCGTTAACAATTAACGAACATGTTGACGTGACAGTTAGTAAAATTAGTATAATTATATATTTGGTCACTCTTACTTATATTTCTATCAATTTGGTCCTAATTATAATAAATTAAAATACAATTAATCTTTCAATCGGATGTTGCCATGTGTCATCATTCAATTTGATGATTAAATTTATTTTAGTTTAATATATTTATTTTCTACCCATCAAAAGGTGACATATGTCATCATCTTGTGAAAAGAAAAGAACCTAAAGAGGGAAACATGGGATTCGAACCAAAGACCCTTGGGAGAGAAGAAGGAAGCTCACCCAAAGATCCGAATTTATAAACTTTTGTATCCAAGCCCCGATCCATTGGCTTATGCTTCTCCATGCCCAATTTTCTAGTTTCCACGTCCATAAAACAGCAGCCATTAAAGTCGGCAAATTGTATGCATTCTTATACCCCTGCGCCATTTATTTGAGTCCCGTTCTTCGTCTTCTTTGCAATTCCCAGTTCTCGTTCCTTCTTAAAGTCGGCAACTTTGCTTTCTTTGGCCTATCGTATCCAGCAGCTTCTTCAAGGTTTCAATTTTTTTTCCTTTTGCAACTTTTATTATATTCAATTCCATGAATGGCATTTCAATTTCGATTTAATCCATGAATTAATTCGGTTTTATCACTTCAATGTTTCCCTTTTATGTTGTTTTTGTTGTTGTTAATTAGAGAAAAGAATTGGGTCATTTTTTTTATTTCGTTTTCTTTTGGGTGCTTTTAGTTTTAGCGTATAGGATTGTTAATTATATAATCCATGTATGTGTGCTGAAAATGGAATTTTTTTATGGGATTTCATTTTTTTGAATATTGAAATTTCGATATAATCTAAGAGATGCAAGCTTTCATATGTGTTCAGGTTTTGTTCTTATCCGAATAGCCTTTGTTGTTATTGTCTGCAAATGTTGACTGCTAGTGTTACTGCATCCTTGCCGCCTTCATTATCTAAAGGTATGATCTTGTTCTAGCTGGTTTTCTTGGAATTTTCTTTTGTCATTCATTGAATTTCTTATATTTTAATGATAATTTTCGTCGTTGTTTTCGCCAGGACATTGTTTAGAGCAGCAAGTTAAACGCCATGGCTGCTGTGGTGCCGATGGAATTCCCGCACGAATTCGGCCAAGGGGACTTGGCTTGCACTTACAACCTGTTGTTGGAAGACGTAGAAACCAATATTTATCCATTATATGTGCAGCTGCTGCTTTGGTATGTTTGTCGCTGTAGCTACGAGAAAATTGATTTCCTTTAACATAATACAAAACTCTTTATATATGCACCATCTGCTTGCATAAACAGCAGTAAAGCCGGAAATGAATTCAGCGGAACTGATTGAAACTTGCGTTCATATGTGTGTGTTGCTTTATACGTGCTCAAACTGGACTTTTGATGGTGCTGGAATTTGGATTTTCTGACTTGGTTTCTTTTCCTCGCAGAATGCAACATGCAGTGCATCGGGGCAAACTCAAACCATTACTCGGGAAGCACCAACGATCACCCAAGCTCCTGTTCACTGTAATAACAAACATATGCACTTTAAATAGCTTGCTATAATTGGTTATATGGAGGGGTGGCCAGGCCGGCCTCCAGGGGCTGGGCCTGGCATGTATAAAGCCTGGCCTGGCCTGATCTATTTAACTAAACAGGTCAGGCCCAGATCTTTTTAAAAGCTTATTTAACTAAATAAATCAGGCTTAGGCCTATTAAAAAACCTTATAAGTCTGATAGGTCGGCCTATTTAGAGTGACTACTTTGTAAAATATACTAAGTTAGAGTGATTTAATAGAGATATACTCTAAAATTAATGGCTAAACTGAAAATATTAAATGTTTATTGTTAAACACTTTTAAACAGGTTTTTAAACTAAACAGGCTTTTAAACAGGCCAGGTTTTTAAACAGGCCCAGGCCAAGCCTAAATAAAAGTCTTTGACAGACCACAGGCCAGACCCAAGCCTACCCAAATCATTGTAGGCCAGGCCTAGGCTTATTAAAGTCTGGCCCGACCTGGCCTATTCCCACCCCTAATTATATGTAATCATTTTTGTGATTTTCCAGTTATTTTAGTCACCTGCCTTAAGTTTGATTGTGGTTGGGAAAGTTATGGTGGGCTAAGTGATTATACCTGAATAATCGAAAGGGATGATGATAGGCATGTATCGTCTCGTTCTAGTTTTAGAAACTTAGCCATGGTGTGTTGATGCGTGCGTTCACTTTCATGCTCCATCAACTTCAGTAGGATGACTGTAATTTCGCGTACAATTTTCCGTTATCCCAGATCTCACCGGGAGCTCTAGCAATTTTTATGTTACTCTTTTCTGTAGTTTTGGTGTACTATTTTCCTGGTGATAAACACCTGATCATTCTGGAGCTGGGAATGGATCCCTGGCTATGAGGAACTCCCTCACCAATGATATCGTAGATAGCCGATTGGCTTGAACTTTGCAGCTTCGTTGTTCCTTTTGCTTCGAGTACAGCACCTTACAATTTTACGAGAAAACGTAACTGGCTTAACATGTTCTATTGAAATGCAGCAAAGGAGAAGTCGCCGCAGCTGGATGATGGTGATTCTGGGTTTCCACCCCGTGATGATGACGGTGGCGGCGGCGGAGGGGGAGGCGGTGGGGGCAACTGGTCAGGCGGATTTTTCCTTTTCGGATTTCTCGCATTTCTAGGCTTCTTAAAGGATAAAGAAAGCGAAGAAGACTACCGCGGCAGTCGAAGAAGATGATGAGGGAAACTGCTGATTGAAAACAGTTTTGGAACCTATTGCATATAGCTCTCCTTATATATAATTTAAAATTGGTCTAATTATATATTTAATATTTAAACTATCGATTTTGAAATATTTTAATAGTTAAATTTTTGCATTTTTTAAAATTTATCCCTAAAGTTTTGTTTTTGTTTTATTTTATTACCTTATCAATATTTTCACTTCACATAAATATATAGGGATGGCAACGGGTCGGATTAAGATCGGGTTTTTGGTCCATCCAATCCGATTCGAAAATAAGTATCATCCACCTGAACCCGATCGGACCAGAAAATTTTATATCATCCACTCGATCCAATCCAAAATATATATATCATACATCTGACTTTGACTCGACTTGACCCAATAAAAAAAGAATTTAATTAAAAAATAATAAAATTTTAAGGAAATACATTATTATCCTGGGGTCGGGTCAGATTTTTTCACCCTCCATCCGAACCCAACCCGACCCAACCTCACTCCTTAAAAAATCCGATCCAACCCAACTCAAACCCATTTTTTTAAAAAAATCCGACCCGATTCGATCGGATCAGATTGAAAACCGTCGGATTCGGGTAATATTACCCTCCCTATGAATATATAAAAATGTGAATAATGTATGATCAAAACCCTAAATGTATTCATTGATCTTATCTTAGTTTTTTTTATATAATTATAAATTATTCGATTCATTTATAAATTAATTTAAATTGAATTAATGAAAATGCTTGGTTGGTAAGTTTGATCCCACTAATTATTTTGTTTCGTAGCACCGAAATACAAAGACTTAGCACCAGCCATGTATTCAACCCTTTTAAGTACTATTTTCATTGCTCCTTCATAGAGTGTAAATCAAGTCTCCTTTCATCCACCAACATCTCTTCGTCATTTTCTTCCATCTACACGAATTCAATGAAAAAGATCAATCTCATACTTGGGAAATGCAAGTGCTTGTCGATGCAACTAGGGAGGCCATCCTCGTATAGCGGCCTGAGATCGAAATCGGCTCGGGAAGATCGTCGTCGTGGTGTTTGGGATCATATAAGAGGAGGAGGAGGAAGAAAAGATGTCGGAAATGATGGCGGCGGCGGTGACGATGAACATCAAGAATGCGAAACGATTTATGCTCACTCCAATAAGATTGTCAACTCTGATCCGGTGACAGTGGTTGCGGAAGGGTCGTTTTGTGAAATACCTGGATGCGGTCGCAAGATGATGACCAATCTGCAAGGCATAGATGTGTTCCCGTGTGAGTGTGGTTTTAGGATTTGTAAGGATTGTTATACAGATGCTATTGCAACGGGTGATGGGTTTTGTCCTGGATGTAAAGAGCATTATAGAGTGTCGGATGTGTCCGAGACGGCACCAGCTAGCGACTTCGGTTGTCGAAATCCAGCCGGAGGTTGCCGGCTGTGGAATCGACAGAGCTCTTGATGAGGAGTCATAGTAATGAGTTTGATTATACTCAATATTTGCACGAAACGAATCAGAGTTATGGGTATGGGAATGGTGTGTGGCCGAATGATTGTGCCAATGGAAACACCGATGAGTCCGGCAGTGACCGTAAGCTATTCCCGGAATACCCGGTTGAGAAGCTTGCATGTTATGTTTCGGAAACCCCCACTGTCACCACGAAGGAGATCTCCTATAAGACCACCAGAGTCTCCACGTCGGCATCTAGATTCTCCATTTCGTCGTTGTGGTGAAACACCTCCTAGGCGCAGGCCAGCCTCTCCTGCCAGAGGTCGTTCTCCATTGTCTCCTCCAAGGCGACCTCGATCCCCAGCAAGGTTTGGCAGTTTTAATAGACGGTCCAATTATTTTGTCATGACCGACTAATCCAGATCGGATACTACAGAGTCGAATGCGACCCTCTCAACATATTTTACTTCATTCGTAAACACCAATATTCGAACCCCTAATATTACTTAAAAGATCTAATACCTCATCATACTAGATCATCTGGTTGTTATTTTTATAGTATGTTATTTTTATTAGTAATATAATGATTTTATAGTTTGGTTTAGTACTTGCAGTTTGATTTAGTAATTAGATAAGGATTAAGAAAAATATTTTGTAAGTCCTTGATCTCGATTCTAAAATTGATCCATTTACTCGACAAATCAACTTGTGAACGAGGCCTCTCTTCACATCTAAAATGCTTTTAGGGTAAATTTCGTATTTGATATCTAAATTATTAGTTTTGGTTTATTTTGATACTTAAACTTTCAATTTTTTCAAAATTATACGTAATGTTTGATTTTGTTTCAGTTTAGTACTATGTAGTTAAAACTTACCGTGTTTAGTACTTAAACTATTAGTTTTGGTATATTTTAGTACCTAAAATGTTTAATCTTGAACGGGATACTAAAATAAAATAAAAACTAAACTTTATGTATGATTTAGAAAATGAAAATTTGAATACTAAAACGGATCAAAACTGATAGTTTACATATTAAACGTGTAATTTACCCATGCTTTTAAGGCCTTAAGACATTCCTTTTGACTTGTGAATTACGTAACTACTAATATTATTGTGCGAATTATCTTCTTTTTATAAGATTTAAATTCCGATATTTATAACCACTTTCCTTTTTTGATTTTTATATCAGAAAATGTATACTTTTATCGATAAAATAGAATATTATTTTTTTTCAAAATTTAGAGTTTAAATAATTGTATTTGTGAAGTATTTTTTTCTGCATCCACAAATGTTCAAACTTGAGACCACTTACTTAAGAGACCAGAACCCCTTCCACTCAGGCCAACCTTCGTAGGTATTATTTTGAAATCATTTGATATTATTAAAAAATGGATAAACTACACCATAAGTTTATGGTTAAGTTATATATTAAATACTTGAATTATTAATTTTAGTATGTTTTAGTACTTAAATTTTTAATTTTTTAAAATTATATGTAACATTTAGTTTTTATTTTATTTTAGCACCCCACCGTTAAAAATTTAACGCGTTTATCACCCAAACTTTTATTATTTTTTTTGTAAAACTTAGCGTTAAATTTTGAATGAAAATACAAAATAAAGTAAAAACTAAAGTTTTTAATGGTGGGTTACTAAAATAAAATAAAAATTAAACTTTTGCTATAATTTTAAAATATTAAAAATTAAAACACGAAAAATGGACTAGAATTGCTAGTTTATGTACTAAACACGTAACCCTAATTTCTTAAACTATGACCAATAATTATGTTGTAATTTTTAAAATTTGTGACTAAAATAATTATTTGATCATAGTTTAGGGACCTATGATGTACTTTATCCTACACAAGAGAGAGAGAGTGAGCGAGAGACAGAGAGGAGAAATTAAAGTAGTGGTGTTTTTTGCTGTCCCGAGGAATTTCTCCATCTCCTTTCCCTCTCTTGTTGCTCCAAAGTCGCATCCTTTAGTCTTTCAGCTTTCAGTTCATTGCCTCACTGTAGGACAAGGAGGACGGCTCTTCACTCAACCAAAGGCAATTTTTTTTAAGAAATCATTTGTTAGCTCCATCAGTTTCTTTCACTTTTTTTCTTCTTGTTTTTCTGTTTATTTTGGTTTCTGGGTATTCGTTTTTGTTAATTTTTTGTTTCTTTTTTGTGTTATTAAAATTGGGTTTGTTGATGGTTTGTTGTTGGATGAATTATTTTATTTCTTTAGAATATGATTTAGAGTTTCACATGTAAGTGTTTAAACGCTTTGATCAAGATGAACAGCTCTTAATTGTGTTTTGTTCGTTCTCAAAAGGTTAAAAGGAAATGAAATTGTATCTTGAGTTGTTGTCATTTGTATCGGTTTCCAGGTGTTTCACCGCAATTTCGGTTTAGCTAGTCTAAACGATGGACCAATCCAGGCTTAATACGAGGGGGCGTTGCTCCGGTTCGACACCATCGGATGAATCGGCTTTGGATTCCGAAAGAAACTGCTGCTGTCATCCTCGTCTTCCTTCGTTTAGTTCCCCGACGCTTCAGCCTTTTGCCTCGGCTGGACAGCACAGTGATAATAATGCTCCTTACTTTTCGTGGCCGACCTCCAGCAGGTTAAATGATGCTGCTGAAGAGAGGGCGGACTATTTCTCTAATCTGCAGAAAGGAGTTCTGCCTGCGACTCTTGGTTGGTTGCCGAAAGGGCAACAAGCAGCGACGTTGCTGGAACTAATGACCATAAGAGCGTTTCATAGCAAGATTTTGAGATGCTACAGTCTCGGGACTGCAATTGGTTTCCGTATTAAAAAGGGTGTGCTGACCGACATACCGGCTATCCTCGTTTTCGTCTCCAGGAAAGTTGATAAGCAATGGCTCAGTCCCATCCAATGTCTACCTACAGCCTTAGAGGTTATTCGATTTTACTTCCTCTCCTGCACCTTTTCCTCTGTTGCTCCTATTCTTTGACCTTTTCCCTAATTACTACACACTGGTTTTATCTTGCTTCAACCCTTTCAGTTGGGCTCAGGCTCGATATGTTTGTAAAATAAGTATTAACTCCTTTAATCAGGGGCCAGGAGGAGTATGGTGTGATGTGGACGTTGTGGAGTTCTCGTATTTCGGTGCGCCTGAGCCAGCACCCAAAGAGCAGCTGTACACGGAGATTGTGGATGATTTGCGTGGGGGTGATCCGCATATTGGCTCAGGTTCTCAGGTATTCTCAAGTTGCCTTGTAATGTTTTTCATTTTATGGTAGTTGGTAAATCTTTTTGGTGTACAAGCATGCTTGAGAACTCTGATCATCCTAAGCAAGCTTTACATTCCAATCTAGTTCTACATGATAATGTCGTCAGCGATTAAAATTACCTAGTAAGCTTCACTTTTGTTATTTTTACGGATGGTGCAAATCAATTCCATGGGCTTGAAATGTACCTCATGGACGTTATCAGTTTATCACCTTTCATAGTGAAATACAGTAAAATGAGTCGTGTACTCTGGCCTTAAATTGTTTGAAATGAAGACTTGGTCGAGGTTGGTTTGTCTAAATGTTTCTTTTTCTTCTGTAGAACATATTTTGAACTTTGAATTAGTCTTGTCGTTTTCATCAGATGTTGGTTTATATATCTGGACAATATGTTTGTGTTCATCATTAGTGACTAAAGAAACCATCTTCCGGAAAGTCTTATTTGACAAATATGTAAATGTCTCGTATGAATTTTCACATAACTATTACCATTTTTGTACCCTCAGGTAGCAAACCAGGAAACTTATGGGACTTTGGGTGCTATTGTGAAAAGTCAAACTGGCAGCCGACAGGTTGGGTTTCTCACAAATCGTCATGTTGCAGTTGACTTGGATTATCCGAATCAAAAAATGTTTCATCCTTTGCCTCCAACACTTGGTCCCGGTGTATATCTTGGTGCAGTGGAGAGAGCTACTTCATTCATAACAGACGATCTTTGGTATGGCATTTTTGCCGGAATAAACCCAGGTAAGAATTTTAAGATAACTTCAATTGCACTACCTTCAGAAAAAAAAACTTGGATTGCACTAATTCACTTTTCGATTTTGCCTCGAAATCTTATGCTGCAACATGAACAAACTAAACTATTCTGAAGTTATCTTAATGAAGCTTTTGAACTATGTCATTTTGCTGTTTCCTTTATAAATGTTGAGAAGATAGAATTCAATGAATAACCTCTGATAACATTCATTAAGCTCGTTGTTAACTACGTTACAACCAGCTTATATAGAAGCTGTAACTTCAAGTGTACTCAACCTCTATAATCAACTCATAACAGAATCCAATATTTCTTAACAGCTATAACAACTCACTCACACACAACGCTCACATCAGCAGCACATACACACGTCACTGCATATTCTAGAATGCAGTCATGTATTCCAGAATATATTCCAATAATAAACCTATCCGATACCATTGGTTCATTAAAATCTTCATGACATTGTTTGGTTAAGGTTTAATCAGGTCACCGTTATGCATTTTTATCGGTTTGTAGGCAGATAGGGTTTGTTCTTTGCTTCCTTCATGTTTGACTAATTTCGCATTTGTTTCGAAATGCTTTTTTTACCTTGCTTTTCTTTCAAATTTCGTGTCCTGTTTGACTCAAGATCTTATTGCTTATGTATCTTGTCAATGCTTCGCTCTATCTGGAATATGGTATATATTTATGGCCCGATTGAAACAGGATCTCATCGAGATTCCTTTTGTTCAGTCATCGAACTAGTTGGTTAAGCGAGGAATTACCACTTTTTCTTGGATGGTATATCGGCCGGTTGATGCATCATTTGCTCTATTTCCCTAGGAAACTTAAAAACTTCAACATGTAGGTCTCGAGTTCGAACTAGGGGAGGGGAGGTGGTGGTTATTGGTTCGATACCACCATCAATATCTGGTTTTTGTTACTATTCTTTCCTTATGTTCTTTCATGTTTCCTATTTTATCTGCTCAGCAGGTTTTCCCTCCGTACGGCATTTTTCACTTCTTGAACTGACTTTCAATCGTGTCCCTAACAATTACATAAACTTGCAGAAACATTTGTCAGAGCAGATGGCGCATTTATTCCGTTTGCTAATGATTTTGACATGTCCACTGTTACTACATCCGTTAAAGGTGTTGGTGAGATCGGTGATGTCAAGGTTATCGATTTGCAGTCTTCAATCGGTAGCCTTATTGGTAAGCAAGTTATGAAGGTCGGAAGGAGTTCTGGCTTAACCTCGGGAACGGTATTAGCTTATGCCCTTGAATATAATGATGAGAAAGGCATATGCTTCTTAACCGATTTTCTTGTTGTCGGCGAGAATCAGCAAAGTTTTGACCTTGAAGGGGATAGTGGAAGCCTCATCATTATGAAAGGTGAAAACGGGGAGAAGCCGAGGCCAATAGGAATTATATGGGGTGGAACTGCAAACCGGGGTCGACTTAAGCTAAAAGTTGGACAGCCACCGGAAAATTGGACCAGTGGGGTTGATCTTGGGCGACTGCTCAACCTCCTTGAGCTTGACATCATCATTACAGAGGAAGGGCTTAAAGGTTTGTCCTCTCTCGAAACACTTCTTTTACTTCATCGTTTTAATATCACGTTTCATCTTCAGAGTCGTTATCGATACTAAAAAAATGCCTTGATGATTAGGACAATCGGAATGATGTGTATTCGACGCAATGATTGAACTTTTAAATCTTGTTATTTTCGTCTCCAGGCGAGTAATCTGGGTTTATGTGTTACTTTCATTTCCTTTTATTTACAGAAGCAGTGCAAGAACAAAGAGCGGTCTTGGCAGCAGCTATTGCCTCTATAGTTGGGGACTCCTCGACTCCAGAAAGGGTTCTAAAGGACAAGAGCGAAAACAAATTCGAGCCATTGGGTTTTCAGATTCAGCATATCCCATTAGAAGTAGACTGCAACAGCCCGGAAACGAATCCTTCAACTATAAAAACCGAGTTTCATTTGGAAGACGGTGTCAGTGCTGGTCCTAGCATAGAGCACCAGTTTATTCCAAGCTTCATCGGGCGATCTCCCTTGCATAGAAACTTCTCCGACAAGGCCGTCTCTGAAAATCTTGCATCGTTAAGGAACGGCTGCGATGAAGATCTTTGCGTTTCATTGCATTTGGGCGACAATGAAGCCAAGCGGAGGCGTTCCGAAGCTTCAACCAGCACTGAAGAACCAAAGTGAAAAACCCTTTTTGGGACCCTAAATTTTAATGGAGTTAAGGCTGCAAAATTGTATGTTTTAACTCTGTAACTTTACTAGGTCGAGTTAACCTCAGTAATTTACAACAGTGATTTAGTAAACAACTCTTTCTTCCCTCTTTTATTGCAGTAACGGACTGGAAATTTCTTCCCCATCAGTTCCCTTCTAATACCATATTCAAAGTCATCCAAGATCATTGAATATTCCTCTTTCTCTATATTTATTTTATTTAAGTTTATATTTTATCGAATAAAAATAAGATTTTTTTTTATATCTATACATTTGTGTCGAGTTAGATCGAATGTGAGTTTTACCCAAAAATTCGGGTCGGTCAAAAATCCAGCCCATCTCAACCCATGTACAATAAAAAATTCAGGGGATATTCGATTTTGTCCTCGCATTAAATGTGTGAGGGTTAAATCTATTTGATTTAATAATTGATTAAAATTAATTAGGGCTTACAATTAGAGCTTCTATTTTAAATTTAATTTACTTTAGTCCCTTAATTTAGAGAATAATTTAATTTGGCCCTGCATTAAAATGTTCGAGGATCAATTTCGATTATTCTATTCAATAATTGATTAGAATTAATATTAGAGCCTACATTTTTAGGTTTAGCCTTCTAGATTCTTTAAATTACCTAATTTAACACTTTAAGTTCGTTTAGTATAATTAACCCACATAGTATAATTAGAGTCATAAATAATATAAAAAAAAGATAATTACTCATTACTGAAGTATTCATAAAAAAGAATTTGGGTAACAATGTATTAGTACCTAAACTACCAGCATTAGTTCTTTTAGTACCTAAACTTTTAACTTTTTTAAAAATATACTTAATATTTAGTTTTTATTTTATTTAAGAGCTTTGTTAAAAACTTATGTTAAATTTAGAAAAATTAAAAGTTTAGGTACTAAAACGGACCATAACTGATATTTTAGGTACTAAACGAGTTAATTTTTAACAACGGAATACTAAAATGAAAAAAAAAATTAAACATAAGGTATGATTTTTAAAAAATTGAATGTTGAGATACTATGACGGATCAAAACTGATAATTTAGGTACTAAATACATAATTTAACCAAAGAATTTTTGTTCCCAATATGGTAATCAGAATAAAGTTTAGGGGCTATTTTTTCTATTAAGCCTTTTATGAATAAACAAAAAGGAAAAGAAAAATGGTGTTGTTTTGTTTTCTGTTCCGCGAGGAAATTCTATTATTTTTACTCTCAATTGTTGTTCGCAGTCGCAGCTTTTTAGCATTTCAGCTTTCAGTTCGCTGTAGAACAAGGAGGAAAGCGCTTTCACTCAACCAAAGGCAATTTTTTTTTTCATAAATAAATTTGATTTTTTGGGTTTTATACAAGTTTCTGGGTATTTGTTTCTGTTAGTTTTTGATTTGATGAATTGGGTTTTTCTATATATTATAAAAATTCAAAATTTAAAGCAAGTTCATTTTGTGTGAGTTATTTCTTAGTAAATGGAACGATTGATGGTTTATGATAGGATGGGTTATATGGTTTCTTCTGGATTTGGTTAGATGATGCCTTAATGGCCTTTGAGTGATGCCACTTCTGATCTTTATTGTTTGTTGAAAATTTAGGTAGCTTATAGCTGGTAGGTACATTGGAAGAATTTAATCGCCGGTGAAGATGGCCTGCCATCTCTGGGTCGTGTAAAGCTCACTGATCTCGTAACCTCCGAGGGCCTTCCTTCGGACTCTTACAAGCTCTTGGTCTCGACTTTATCGCAATCGTTTGCTCAGTATTCTGCTTCCATCATTCAGTTCCCAGCTAGGGATGGAGCCCTTTTGAGATCCGGTTTGGATTCTGCTCGCTTTTACTTCCATCAAAGGGAAGCTTACCCACCTGCAGACATGATTCACACGAATGATTCTCGTGAGTGGTGTAAAACGTCTGGTTACTATGCCGATCCTCAGCTTTGGCAAGAAACTTACGATTTCAGGCCAGGCCTAACTCTGTTAGAGCCCGGGAATGGAATGGAGTTTCCTCCGGGTGGTTTGCCTGACATATTTGGCTTGCTTGGTAAGGCAGCACGAGGCATACTTGATGCGATCAGCTATTACTTGAATTTGCGCAGCTCGCCGTTTACTGAAATACTCGATAACGTACCGTTAAGAAGCAGGGAGATATCTTCTTCGGTGTTATCGGTGTGCTGTCATGCAAGGCCTTCTTTTCATGGGGCACAACACCACAATTTAACAACACATGATGATGGACAATTGATCATGTTCCCTGACCACGAGCACCAGGTTGATAAAAGCTTGATATCTGTCGTTAAGTCGGATAAAGCAGGTTTGCATGTAAGGGATTTTCATGGTCGGTGGTTTATTGTCGATGGGGACCTTAGTCCTCTAGAAGCTGTTGTTTATCCTGGTCTGGCACTTTATCAAGCTACTGCAGGTTATGTCAATCCTGCATTGCATAGGATGGAGATTAATAATATTCGGGATAACATGTATGGACGATGCTCTTTGGCTTTCAAACTCATGCCCAATTCCATGACCAGCCTCAGTTGCTCGGAGATGAGAGCAGCTGGTCACGGGGTTGAAGCTCAGTTCCAGATTCCGGTACCGGTGGATGACTTCATGCAGAGATCTCACCCAACGGATCAACTCTTTAATCGGAACACTTTCCCGAGCTTTAATTTCCCCACAGCCCAAGATGGTAAGCAGTATTTCACAATGCGTATGCAGTATTTTCTTATACAACGTGTCAGTAGCTGAAAAGTCCAACAAGGGGGAGATAGGGGTTTCAATAGTTTGATCCAAACCATAACATTTTTCCGTTTGGTTTGCCGAGACTTCTTGATGTTGGATTATCTTTTCTGTTATTTTTTGTGTCCATGTAGCCTTAGGGAGAAGTTGTTAACAGAAGGTCCTTGGATAATGAAATGCTGGTACAGGGTCCATGAAGCCCTTGATTAGAAGGAGGAAGAATAATACGAGATGCAAACCTCTGCCTCCTTCCAAGAGATTACGGCTCGAGGCTCAACGAGTGCTCAAGGAAAGGGTTCAGGAAATCTTGGATAAGAAGGGCATCAAACTACGGTTTTGTTACCTAAAAGAGTGTGAGAATCACATTCATGCGCTAGATAGTCCTTGTGCTGGAGATCGGATGGCCACATGGAGTGCCGTTTGTTCACCCCCACGATCTGCCTAATAAGGCTAAGATTGGTTTTCTTGAAGCATATGAACCTGGTTGGACCGCAACTCAAGATATGGAATTAAGCCTGACGGAACCTGGAGGACAGGCCAGTCAACAGTCGGGAAACTGTAACTGTACATCTCTTGTTTATTTCATTGCCATGCAAGCATTCATCGAATGCAGTTTAGTTTTCAAGTTCTTGGCATTAACCAGTGTTGTCAAGGCGTGCGCCTAGCGCGCCTGCACACTATTCAACAAAAGCGACTCAGACCCTTTCAGGCCAGAACCATTTGATCAGGCGAACAGTGCGCCTAGGCATGCTCTTTAATTTCTTTTTTTTTCCACTTATTTTTTTTCACTCAGGTTAGGCCCTTTTTTGCGCCTTGTGCCCGAGGCAACATAAGGGTTTAAGCACCTAGAGTGCGCCTCTTGCGCCCTTGACAACATTGGCATTAACCGTGCATCCAACACTCACACCATGGGAATTTTGCTGGATTTATCATTGAGCATTTTGAACACTAATGAAAATAGTTTTGAATCGGCATTCATATATACTAAAGTGCGTCGGATGTATTTTTCCTTCGACGGTCTTCTGAATGTCGTGAATGGAATGAGTTTTATATAATATTTTTTGTCTGCAGGAACCACCATGCAGTTTCCTTCCCGCAATTATCCACGAGGAGCTTTGTTCATGACAATTGGTTTTGGAAGATCTCAGCTGGGAGATTATGCATGACACGAGCTTTTCTACTGATATCTTTTTGTCTCTGGATCCGAATTCTACTTGAATGGACAATTCTTGCCATACATTTCTGCGGAAATCAATCTCGATTTCCTTCTGACGCAAGCAGCAGGGCTGCCCTGCCGAGACCCCAGACCTTCATAAACTGAAATGGTCTTCACTGTTCAATTAGCAAATAAGACACAAGTCACTAAACATGTCTGTAAAAATGCATTGTCTGTAAAGACCTAGATTTTAGGAATTTTCCACTCCTTTGTCTCAAAGTTCCTTGCTCATTTCTTTCTTGTTTCTTAAGTTATCCCACTGTTTCAGTTTTCAGTTTGTAGAGAATAAATTGGAGGAATAAGAGCCATCTGTTTTTGGAACAATGGATCATTAACTTAAATGTGTGTCAAATTCTATCATTAGTCCTCATACTATGCACAAGTTGAAGATTTAGTTCATATAAATTAATTTGATTATTTTTAGTCCATTTATTTTTTGAGTTTTATAATTTCAATTTTGACCTAAATGATATATGTACAATATGACCAAATCATAGAGAAAATGATAATGAATTTACAACCTCATCATCAATATAATGTCAAATAGAATAATCTGAGTACTTGATAATTTATTGCCCATTGATAACGATACAAATTTTAAATTTTTGGAAAGTAAAAGAACTAAAAATATTATTTTAAAAAATAATAAATATACATGATTAATTAATTCATTTTATTTTACAATGTGTGAATAAAACACCTTCACCAGCTCCACCTATTGACCTACATAGCATAATAGTGTTGATGTACAGTCCATTTATATTCATGAATTAGCTTGCCTTTGGCTACCTACCGAACTATATGATAAATGCTCTCAAAACTTAAATACATCAAATTATTTATTTCCCTCCACCATATAGTAAGTTCTCATCAACAAGAATAAAAGATTTATTTATTTTTCCAAATTTAAATAATCCATGAAAAAAAACAAAAGCTTGCTGTCAGCACATTGTCATGAAAATGTCACACAATGAATATAGGGTATAGCTGTGAAGCTACATGATGATGATTAAAATCTGTCAAAATATGCAGTACTGCAATATTATCTGAAAGCAGCTGGACATCTGTTTGTTGTTTTCTTTTATTTCATGATGGATTGTCCTTGAACACAAGAAAACGAAAGAGAAAAGAAAATTGCAGGTCCAATTCATGAATGATGAGATCAAATCTGCCTGTGGACTGTAATTGATCGGGACGAACACATGATTTTATATCAAATGGTGAATTTAGTTTTTTCAAATTTTAAAGAGAATGAATTTGAATTTATAAAATTTCATAGACGAAAAAAAATCTAAAATATACGATAAATTTAAATTTTCAAAAGACAATTGTCACCGCATGTCCCTTCGATTGGGAACTGGTTTTGGGTGAGCAGATTAGTGAGGGGAAATGAATGTGGAAAATGACTTTGTCTTGAAGGTGGGACGAGAGTATGATAATATGCACATGGGAAATGATCAGATCAGACATCATCAGGCATGCACAGGATGATAAAAATAAACGTAAATGATCTAAGTAATTGGTTGGGAAACGTGTCATTGATGTTGCAAGTGATAAATAAATAAATAAATTGCCATTTCAGTCCCATATCTTCCTTTGAAATCTCCCAGAAACCATTTATTTATTTTTGTTAGGTTGCCGTTTGCATTATTCATGCAAAGTTGACAGTCACGTTTGCCCTACCAAAGAAAGGTCACCATTTAGTTCGGTAAAGAATATAAACCCATGTGGGTAGATGTTAATTAAATATTTAATAATCTATTTAAATTAAAATATATTATTTTAAATGATGAAAAATATATATATATTTTCCCTCACCAAGATGTCTGAAATCTGAATCATGCAATACAAAATCAGCACAATCTCTGAAAATTAGTTGGCAACTTAGCTTAGTAAAACCAAGATGTCTCCTTGATTAAAATCTTGCAATTTATATATATATATATATATATATATATATATATATATATAGAGAGAGAGAGAGAGAGAGAGAGAGAGAGAGATTGCTCAAATATTAAGTTTGAAGATAGAGATTTGCCTTGGAAGCATAAAATTAGTACATTATTGTTATCATGTGACACATACAATAAGATGGTTGTTCATATTTTCTAAAAATAAATAAGGATATATGGTGGAGAAGAAGAATGTGAAAATGAGGTAAATTGATAAAGTTTTAAATATTGAGAATTAAAATAAATGTATTAGTTATTTTAAATCAAGATAAAATTAATAGAATATATAACTTTTTAGGATTAAAACTTTCATTATATTAGGTAATGTCATGGGCAATCCGACCTGGCCCGAAAATTATACATCCTCCACTCGACACGACCTGACCCGAAAAGTATACACCCTCCATCCAACCCAAATCCAATCTAACTTTTTAAGATAAAATCAGAACCCGATCAGAAATTATATATTTATTAAAAAAATATTATTTTATTCAATAAAATAAGGATTTAATTGAAATATATATGGGTACTATTGTAATTATCCCTAAATATATAAGGTAATATTATATTTTTAGATCGGGTCGGATATTTTTCACCTTAAACCTAAAACCAAACGTAATCTCTAAAAGAACATGACTCGACCCTTCCCGAAACTGAATTTTTTAAATAAAAAAACTGATCCAATTTGGGTTCGGGTCCATGGCCATCCCTAAATGTCATAGTGTTCGTCTAGTCAACAATAAAAAAGAAAAAAAAAACAAATGATTAAAATAGAACCAAAACGTAACATTACTAGCAATTTTATTTAGAAAGTAATTGAGTGGCCAAAATAAAAATACTATCATTATTTAATGATCACACAAACAGTTTACCCTATTATATTTTTTAAACAGAAATTGAGCGCTTCAAACTCTTTGAATCTTTAAAATTTTGATATTTATAGTAAAATACCGTTATGTTACTATACACCATAGCATATTTCTTCCCATATACTAATTGTAATAATATTATGGGTAAAGTACTCGAATGGTCCCCGACTATAATGTTTTGCTGTATTAATTCATTTTACTATTAAAAGTTACAAAATGGTCTTTCAACTATAGAGTGTTGCTTTATTGAGTCTATTGACTATTAAATGTTATAAAATGATCATCCGACTATTCATTATGTTACAAATTCGTCCTTTTCGGTTAAAAATTTGACGGCATTATGGGCTAAACGTTAACATGATAACTATGATGTAATAAAACTTTATCTCAGTCATTAAGTTAACGTCCAACTTACACAACTGTCAATTTTTTAATGAAAAATATGAGTTTCAAATATAATGAGTAGTCAGGTAACCATATGTAACTTTTAATAGTTGATGGATTTAATAAAGCAATAGTCTATAGTCGGTGGATCATTTTATAACTTTTAATAGTCGAGAGACTTAATAAAATAGTACACTATAATCGGGAACCATTTATATACTTTACTCTAATATTATTTTATATTAAAAATGATCTTAAATCCAAAGCAACAATTTGTCAATACAAATAAAGAATATAAATATACTTTAGAATATACCAATCTTCAACATAAAAACAATTAAGTAGACAACAATCTTAACAAGACTTTGTTATGAAAATTCTTTTCCCCTCAAATTCCAATCTTCAACAACGAATTTCAATGCGTTTAAACATATGTCATATTATGGTTCAAGAAATTATGATAATTCATATAATTAAGGGTAAAGTACACAAATGATCCCCTGACTATATTGATTTATTAAGTTCATCGACTATTAAAAGTTACAAAATAATTGTCTGACTATAGAATATTGCTTTGTTGAGTCTCCCGACTATCAATAGTTACAAAATGGTCATCCGACTATTCATTATGTTCCAAACTCGTCCTTTCCCGTTTAAAAAAATGGCAGTTGTCTAAGCTAGTCGCTAACATGATGAATGAGATGTGATAGTTGTTTGAGATTTCATGATCATATTTTATCACGTCACAGACAACAAGTCAACGTTCAACACATAATACCGTCAAATTTTTAGCAGAAGGTGACGAGTTTGGAACATAATGAATAGTCGTGTGCCCATTTTGTAACTTTTGATAGTCGATGAACTCAACAAAGCAACACTCTACAGTCGGAAGATCATTTTATAACTTTTACTAGTCGATAGACTTAATAAACCAATACCATATAATCGGGACCATTCATCCATGTAATTTACCCTATAATTAATTGAATTGTATAAAAAAAAAGACGTTAATGACATATGCCTACAAATTAAACCAAACCTATTCTCAACATATGCCTACATGTGACTCATATTGCCAAGATAAATTATTTTTTTATAAAAAAAAATCATAGGCCTCTCGGTCTGATTTTGCCTCCAATCCCCAAACTATTTTGACTTTCAGACTTTGGTCCCTATAATTAAGTTTCGTGAATTTAGTATTATAGCCAATGAGGCATTTGACTTTGTAGTGAGATTAAGGTCATATGTTTCAGCCTTATTGTATATAACTATCACATGTAAGATCGAGTTTAGATATATTTCTATTATATTCAGATTAATCGAGTTCTGTAAAAAAAATAATAGATATTATCAAATTAAAATTCAACTTTTAAATAATACTTTTTAAATATATGTTTTCTAATTATGCTTTTTTATTGTATCACGAGTTATAGATTTTTTTATATTATATTTAATTTTTATAAATATTGATATGTATAATTATATCAATAAATGGTTTAATTCAAACAAAATTAACTGAAAATATTCATTTGATTTAAACAGAACGAAACTCAAATTTAAGATATCGAAGATCCAATAAAACCTCAATAGTATAATGCAGAATTTAGCGTCTTTTCTTATATTTGATCATCTGCAACGTGGGCCCCATCACTTGCCACGCTGGGAAGTGTATGAGCGTGGGACGCGTAGCTTGTCCTCGTCTTATAGCTTAGGATAAATAATTAGTTTAGCACCTAAACTATCAGTTTTGATCTGTTTGAGTACTTAAACTTTCAAAATTTTCAAAATCATACTTAATTTTAGTTTTTATTTTATTTTAGTATCGGCCGTTGAAAAATTTAATTTTTATTTCATTTCAGTATCTCTGTTCAAAATTTAACGTTAAATTTTGAAAAGATTGAAAGTTTGGGTACTAAAATGAATCAAAAATAATAGTTTAAATACTAAATGTGTTAAATTTTTAACGACGGATACTAAAATGAAAACTAAACGCTAAATATAGTTTTAAAAAAATTAAAAATTTAAATACTAAAATAGATCAAAATTGATAGTTTAGATACTAAACTAATTAAAGCTAATAGTTTAGACACTAAACTCATAGTTTACCCTATTAACTTACCCTGTCCCACACGTGTACTAGTGGAGCCCTGCCCTTTCTTTCACGTTGTTTCAGCCTTCAGGAGAGGGTATCAAGGAAAAAGAAAACACCCATCGCTATGCTTACGTGGCAGAGGCTCTGACTGTCTGTTATTGAATCTTTCCATCACAACCAATTAAGTGAATAAGGCGGTAAACCCGGTTCTAGGACCAACATCCCTAAAATACCCCTACATAGTTAAAAAAATACCGAGAATCTACATTTATAGGTTTGGTCTAATTTCAGTCCTAGTTCCTGTATTTTTTATATATCTGAAAGTAATTCATTCTATTTTTATTCCTCTAATTTAGTCCTCTATCTCTTGATTTATCAATCTAATTTCGATTAATAATGTTGTCAAAAGTCTTCAATTGAACTGGATTCCATGTCTTTCAAAAATATTCGTATGACCAATATTATACACATGAAATATTATATAAACAAATAAAAATATTAAATATAAAATTTGTAAGGTTTTCAATTTTAAATATGATATTGTTTAGAATTAGAGAGATTACATTTCAAATACAAAAGAGCACAGGGATTTGGAGCATAATTAAGCCATACATTTTATAATTTGATTTGGATTGAATTGCATATTGGAGTGAAATAAGAGGGAGAATAAGAGGTTAATTTGGTAAACAAATCCTAAAATAGGCAAAATACCAAAAACAACAAACAAATCTGCATTTTTATATAACCTTAGATTTTTGCTCCACAGATATATTTAAAAAAAACCGAGCCGGACCGACCTAAATAAACCCCACCACCGGTCCACCACCCTCTATAACCCTTTCATTTCACCCTTCATAAAAGCCAAAGCAAAGCCAACTCAAACGCCATCATTTCCATGGCTGTTGAAGCTAGGCATCTCACTCTTTTCCCTCCTCAATTCTTAGGAAACAGGTTCGTTTTAAACAGACCCAAACTCTCTGAACAACGAAAATTCTTCTGAAATCGTTCTTTGTTTACAGGGAAATGATGAATCCCATTGAAGCAAACGGGAATCTGTATCCGCCGGAGATGGGATACGTTTTTCCAACGGAGGCGGAAGGGTTGCTTCCTTTATATAACTCTTTGGTTAAAGATCAAAAAGCTGCAGCGGCGGCGGTGATGAAATCAGAGAGTAGTTTGACGTACAACAATGTTCTTCCGTTACCTAGAAAGCGTTCAAGGGATTCCATTAATCCAATCCTTTCGTTTCCTTCTCTTGTTCAGCAACCCCATGGCAATATCAACAATAGTAAAACTTGCTCTCCGTTTTCGTTTCTGGGTCATGATGTTTCCGTTCATATGGAGCAGCAACAGTTGGATATTGACCATCTTGTCTCCCAACATGTGAGTGTTTTGCCTAATATTGATGGAATTTGTTTGTTTTTTTCTTCATGTTTTGATATTGATGGCATTTGGGAATTTGTTTTTTAGATGGGGAGAATGAGAGTGGAAATGGAGGAGAAAAGGAAGAGGCAAGTGAGGAAGATAATGGAGGCAATCGAAGGCGGTGTAGTGAAGAAGCTAAGAGCCAAAGAGGAAGAAATCGAGAAGATAAGGAAATTAAATTGGGCACTCGAAGAAAGGGTGAAGTCGCTGTGCATAGAGAATCAAATATGGCGAGACATGGCTCAGACCAACGAAGCGACGGCCAACGCACTACGGACAAACCTAGAACAAGTCCTCGCCGCCGCTTGTACTCGTGGCGTAGAGGAGACTGCTGCCGCGGCGGAAGCGGCTGGAGACGAGGTTGATGACGAGCAGTCTTGTTGCGGAAGCAGTCATTGGGAAGTTGAGAAGCAGTGCATCCCGGAAAAGACCGCCGAGGAAGGTGGCATCGCCGGCGGGCGGTGGTGTAGGAATTGCGGGAAGGTGGAATCGTGTGTGCTGCTGTTACCATGCAGGCATTTGTGCTTGTGTACTACTTGCGGGTCGTCGGTTCATATTTGCCCCGTTTGTAAATCCTCTAAAGATGCTAGTGTCCATGTTAACATGGCATAAGGCCCCCCCCCCCCCCCCCCCCAAAAAAAAAACTCATTATACCCGCAAAAAATACCCACACAATTCAAGAAAAATGTTAGATTTTCCAAAATTTTGTAATTAATTAGATTAATTCTTTTTCTATTTAATTAGTTCAATATTTTATCACATTCGAAATCATATTTTATTAAATATTATGGATTTCATAAATATAATCCAGCATATATAAATCTCAACAAATATACATAATAAATTTCATTTATCATATAAATAATAAATTTCATTGATAATATAAATATTCAGAGCAGAGATTGGCACATACCATTTTCAATATACATAAATCTTAACGTCTATTAATATTGATTATTAATTCTCTTATTTTTTATATTATATCTTTTATTTTTTAGTCTTTTTAATTTTGAATAAGAATGTTCGTCCTTTTGACATATTTTTCTATGCTCGTGACACAATTCTTATTATTTTTGGTACGTTTTCGCATAATTTTGTGGTTGTTTTGGTGTTCGCACAAGAATCATTACGACATTTAGTTTCTTATTGATTTATCGGTGGTCACGTATAGTCAGATTATCTCTTTGATAAAAAAATTTGTTTACCGATATAATTAGAATTATATAGTGAAAGCAGTCTGTCAGATTGTTTGGTTCGTTCACCACTCTTTTATCATTTCGTAAAGTGTCTCATTCGACAGAGAGAAGAGGTTTTTGTGGAGGTTACTGGATTATTTAATGTTAGTCGTTATATAATCAGAATTATATTTAATTTGTTAATATCTATGTGATTTTATTAATGGAGTGTTGAATTGATCAAAATTTGACCATATATAACTTTAATTCTAAATTTTAATAAAATTTGAATTAGATAAGTGAAATTTAATAATTTTGTTAAATATTTGGATTAAATTATTGTAATTTTAAAAAATCTGTATAAAAAATCATTTGAATTCATTTACTTTGTTTTTTTATTTGTTATTAACATCTCAAAGATTAAGATTTTAAAGGGAAAATTACATTTATAAATATTTTTTTTAAACAATTAGGGAGGCGCGTGTTAGAAAAAATAAGTTAAAAGGGAAACAAGTGTGGGACCCACAGACTGAGGGGCATCTACCCGACACAGAGTGGAAGAAGATGCTTTGAAAAATAAAGGCTAAAAAGTTAGATAGGAGCGTAGGGTGACGCGCGAGAAAAGCGTGGAGTCAACCAGGAGGGAGATGACCGAAAAAGAAACGTGTGAGGCAAAAGCTGACACGTAAGACGCGCGCAAATGTCGCTGTTGTTTGTTCTGCCGCTGTTTTAGCAGTACTAGTCCCCACTTCCCCATTCGTATTTCATAGTCCAAAAACGCACCGTTTCAAAACACTTTTTTCTTCTATTAAATCTCAAATATTCTTATTATATTGTTATATTTCATGGTAAAATACACATAAATAATCACTGCATTATATCGCCTTTTCTATTAACTCTTTTGATTATAAAAATTAATAATAGACTACGTAATAATAATAAAAAACCTAACGTTATATTTTTAACGGGATACTGAAATGAAACAAAAACTAAACGTTAGGTATAATTAAAAAAAATTGAAAGTTTAGGAACTAAAATGGACCAAAACTGATAATTTAAGTACTAAACATGTAATTTACCCTTATTATTTATTTAAAGATTTTTTATTTGTTTAAAGGTGTTGAAGATTTAGTATCATGAATTGATGTGTCAAATAAGTTGTCCTCTTCATTGATAAAAATAGAAAGAAAAAAAATCATATTCTAAAATTACTCAGTTGGGTGTGGGGTAAGAACAGCAATGGACACTACAAAGCATAGAATATTGATCCAATCAACAAGTATAATGGACCACTCCTTTGATGGAAACCCTAACTTTGTAAAAGGGGCACTCACTTTGTTCACTACCTCCATCATTTGGAATTGATTTTTGTTGCTTTTCTTCCTTCCTCTTTGGCTGTCCCTTTTTCTCATATGTATGGGGTAAGGGGATGTAAGATAGTAGACTGTCCCCAATACCAGATTGAGAGCAGCTTTCGTAAGAGACATTCGAATTATGAAATGTCCCTTTTCTTCATTCCTAATTTCTCTAAATATTTTCATTTTTTTTAATTTTAGAAGCTTTTTAAATAATAAAATAGTATTAAAAAGAATTTATCTCTTAAGACCGAAACAGATTCGAGTCCGAACTAGTGTTAACATGAACCCGAGTTGGACCTGGAAATTTACGACATGCATCTGACATCCACCCGACCTGAGAACGACCTGAACCCAAATTGAACTTGATAATGTGAAAACTGAACCCGACCTGCATCCGACCTGATATGAATCCAAACTCGAGATTAACTTGGTAAATAACTGTTATTACCCTACCCGTTTTCAAGTTGACCTGATATAAACCTGATCTGTAATTGACTCAACCTGTTATTAAACTGAACTGATATTTATCTGACTTGTATTTACCTGTAAATTACAATTAATGAAGTGAAGAAATTATGAATTTTTAATAATAACTATGATAATTTTTTTAAAAGGTGATTAACTATGATAATTAAATCAATGTATTTAATTTTAATGTTTATAAATTGTAACTTATATATATATTCAAAAAATTTATTAAATGAATGACTTGAAATTGATAAAATTAATAATAAATTTAAAACAAATTAGTAATTAAGATAATATTATTACTAAATTTACTTTATATTACTAAATTTACTTTATTTTACTAAATTTACTTTTTATATATATTATGATAATAATATTAAAAAAGTAACTATAACTATAAAATTAATCTTATTAAATGATTCATGAATCATTTTTCAACTTTTAATTAAAAACTTACATATATTAAACATGATTCTAGTTATGATAATATTAAGATATGAGATTAAAGATTTAACAACTTTATAAATATTGAAACAAACAAAATGTGTAAATGTAAAAATTAAATTTATTACAACTTAATACACCATAATACAATTAAATGGAGTAAATAAATTTATGTACAAATTTAAACTCTCGGATCTTATAACAGAAGTTTTACGTGAAAGCTTGACTTTACTACCAGAAATTTCTTCATCGAGCTTTTAATTATTTCAAATGATCTAAATGTTGTCTTCCGATTCAAAACCATACAACCAATTTCGAGTTGTTATAAAAATCTCAACATTTTTAGGTAAGAGTTTCACTCTCAACTTGTTCAAAATTCAACCACCCATGCTAAATGAAGATTCAGAAGCAGCTGAAGTAATTGAAATGACCAATATATCTCTCGCCATGCGAGAGAGTACTGGATAAGAAACACTTTGTGATTTTCAATACTCCAAAATGTAAAATTCAACTTCTTCATTACGGGGAATAAGAGGCAAATTAAGGTAGGCATCAACATCCAATTTTTCAGTCATTGAAGCAACTAAATTGGCATCCAAACTCTGAAAAGATAAATAAAAAATTTATAATTATGAAAACAAAATAAGAAAATTAAAATAATTAAACTTATGAAAAGTTAAAAATTGACCTGAAATAGATCATATTTTTTTAAATGTTCAAAGCCAATTGGAAGAACTCGACCCACTTGTCTCTAGAGATGTGTTACTTTGGACAGAAGAAGAAGAGCTAGAAAGTGCATATTTTGAATTATATATATATAAATTAACAAACTCATTATATATGATAGTTACCCTTCATTGAACCTCGTCCTCTACATAAAGAACACTACACAACTCCTTCAAAAGTTGTATTTTATATCGAGGATCCAACAAAACAGCAATAGACAAAATCAATAAATGATCAGACCAATATTTCTCATGTAATTTAAGCATGGGTCCTACCATTATAGAAATGCCTTCACAAGAATCATTGTGGGCATCACACAACAACTTTTCAATTGAAACAACATTGGCCAAAAACAAGTTAGAGGTGTGATACCTAGAACCAGATAACATAGTAGTAATTTCATAAAATGGCTCAAGAAAATCACAAATTCTTTGAACAGTTTCCCACTCATATTCAGTAATCATATCCAAGTAATTTTCCTTATTCACAAACAAGTTAATGGTTAATTTAGCATCAAGTTCCCTATGAATCATTAAATAAGTAGAATTCCATCGAGTGGGAACATCTATTAATAATTTACCATGAAAAGAAGAATTGCAGTCTTTAACATCTAATTCAAAGGCACAAAGTCGGGAATAAGAAGAATCAATAAACTTAACAATTTCTCGTAACTTAATAATAGAAGAATCAATTACCTTCAAACCTTTTAAACTATCAAGTTCAAAATGTGGGCACACACCTTATATGAAAATACTTATCATTGCATGGAAGAGGAGAAATAACATGCAAATCATCTCTAAGTATTTTAACCATTTTATCATTTACAGAAGCATTGTCAAGAGTTATGGTAAAAGCTTTTTTTTCAAGATCCCACCCGCATATAATTTTTTCACAAACTTAAAAATTGACTCAGAATCATGTGGTGGAGGAAAACAACAAAAATTAAGTATTTTAGACTACGGTTTCTAATTATTATCGACATAGTGTGTAGTTAGAGCAAAATAAGAACATGAAATGCATACATACCATCCATCACATGTAAAACAGGTTCGACTTAAAATAGAATGCATTGAATCAAGTAGGTATTTCTTATGCTTGTCATGTTCTAACATGCAATACTTAGTAATAGTATACCTCGAAATATCCTTCACGTTAACATTAAGGTAATGATGCAAAACCCTAACTTTTTCATGCTCAACAATACTCAAAGCATAACCATGACACATAATAGTCTCAGCAATCAATTAACAATATCTATTTTTATCAAAAGAACTTACCATACTAGGATTTTCAGCAAGGAAATCCTTATAAGCTTGACATTTATCAATATGCCTTTTAGGGTTAGATGTACCAATATAAGAATCAACTTTATACTTTTTTTGTTTGCAATACTTACGTTGGGCATAAATACCACAATCAGGAGGCTTGATGAAGGTATAATGGTTCCAAACAGAAGAAGTTCTTCTCCCAAATTCTGATGCAACTTTCCTCTTACTAGTAATAATGTCATCAACTACTGTGGACTGTTGGTCATTTATATCATCTTCAAACAAATAACAACAATAGATATTTGTTATAACAGAAAATA